CTTTACCCTCGACTCTCGACACTTTACCCTCGACAAAAACCTACACTCTTTGTCCTCTGATGCAAAAGCATTTTGTATAACCTCTTTTGAAACGTAAAGCTCTCTGTTGCGGCTAAATAAGAGTTTTCTGTTCTTTAATTTTCTCCAAATTGCCTTATAGATCTGAATAACTAATCGATTTTCCTATGTCCCTGAATATGATGGTTTCCTGCAATGTTTTGTCACGCTGGTTTCAATTCGTTAGTGTTTTATATAGGAGGTTAAATTTCACTAGCATTGGCTCTTTTTCATAAAAATGTTTTTCCGGCCCAGGCTTAATATCCTTGTTTCTGACGATTTCAGGCTGAAAATATTCAACACATACAAAAATGAAAATATACAAACGTGCCGCGAAATCTCTGTCGCTGGAACCTTCAAATCCTACCTCTAATTTCACACCAAGCCACGAAAAAACCAAGCTTCCTTATGACTGCTTGAGATCGGAAATCGTTCTGTTGCCACCCGAATTCTATCTTTTACCGCCATGGCCGGCTTTACCACTTGTGGCCCCCATCTTGTTTTTGCCAGATTAATCTTTAAAAATTCGGCAGAATTTTTCAAGAGTTACGTTTCGGCTTACACATGCGCAGTTGATGAGATTTACCCTTTAATAATAAGAATTATTATGTGGCTACAATAGTACGCGCGGTCCAATTGGCTGCTGAGCGAGCAATATTTCCTTTTAATGACCGGGCATTATTAGCCTTGTGTCCAAGGCATATACAATCTGTGTTTGACTTGATAGTGGATATCCATGTTATGGTCAATTGACAGCTGTCGCTGAACAAAGTCACATGACTGTATCGCGGGCTCAAGTGTACAACCCATTGAAGTGACGTGTTTTTTCAAAGTTATCTGCTGACCAGTTATTGGTTTTAATTGATTGCAAGTTCAATAACTTCCAGTGTTTTATATTAATAGCGCTAAAAAGGTAATGTAATAAATAACTTATTAACCTCGCTATCGCTCGGTCAATACACGAAGGCCTCGGTCTGCGATTGCCCTGTAATCACCAAACGGATGAGGTTTAATAAGAAGGATATAATAAACTTTCAGGACACCTCTGCAAGAGCAGTGTACACGGTGATGTAAGTGCCACTTCGTGGAATTACCATTAAACCATTATTATGATTAACGATTTAGAAATATACATACAAGAAAACATTGATGATAAAACCCGACGTTTTGGGGTCTCCTTGACTCGATTTTCAAGGTACAGTACAGGTAAATTATTAATTGATACTTTACGTGACGACTGGTTTAAGCATTTCTACATTAGAGATCGGGCAAAAACGAATCAGTTTAGAGAAAACTGCATAATTTTGCCCGACAACTTCCTCTATATATATAGCTTCGCAGGAACATTTTGAAGGCGAGTAAGGTGAAAACTTACGTTCTTATAACTTAGCACGTACTTTTGATCTAACAGCAACAAAATCGCCGACTTTCATCATGTTTCGAATCCTTCGGCAGTGTTACTAATGATCGTGGTTTTTTTTTAGGTGCTAAATACAAGGATGATTGTCCTGTGGAAAACATGATCCCAATTTACTTAATAGTTGGTGGATCAGCTGGTCTATTGAACATTTTCTGCGCATGCGCAGCAGAATACAGAGGAGATCACGTGATCAAAAAGTTGTGCAGACTCGTCTTACTGCCTCTGTTTGCTTGGTTCATTGCTGGCAACGTATGGATCTATAAAAATAACGAACCTAACTACACCGATCCCGAGAGCCCCTATTTCTGCCACAAAACGCTGTATCTATTTGCTTTCTGGGTAATTACTTCGTATTATATCTTCTTTGGTGTCGTGTTAGTTATCGGGTGTGTGAAGTGCCCAGTAATTTTTGACGAAATTGTTGAAGTTGAACGGAAACGCGGGGAGGTGTAACTGAAGCCCGATAAGCAATTGGAACTTTGTTTTTCAACCTTTTTTACATAGAATTAAAGGTACCGCGAGGTATATGGACATCCGACTATGGACGTTATGTTTATCTGAGATTAAAGAAATAGTTTTAAAAAAAGACGGCCTTTGCCATTCACTTTGACACGTAACTGCAAATGAGAAATTTACCATTCGCAACGATGTATTGAGTTAAAGAAAGTGTAAAGAAATTTCAATTAAAACTAAATTGTAGTATTATAATTTTTTTGGTTCCAATGTATAATTCTCGGGATTTTTCAACTATACGCAACATTTTGAATGACCCATTAACTTTTTCCTATAAATTCCCATATGTAAGAGGCCACAAGCAGTCCGGGCCATAACCATTGGCAGGATATCGGTTTCGTGCCTTCTGATTGGTTGAGGTCAAAACCAAAACAATGTAAACTTGGCGGAGATATACTGGAAATAAGTAGAAGTTAACCATTTTTTTTTCCTCATGGCATCCATTTGCGGTAATCGGCCGAAGCAAAATACAGTAATAAACACTGCACGGTAAAACAGCATAAAATAATTCATTTAACTGGATTTTTATAATAACAAAAATTTGCAACACAAACAGTTCCAAAGTAAGGAATATACAACTCTTCGACAGCTCTAAAAAAAGAAAGTTAGCTAAAGTTAGCTAAAGTCAGAGCCTAGCTTGTTCCATAACCATACTTTCAACGTCAGCCGACCACTCGACGGGAATCTTGACAAATCGCAGGCAAATTTATTCTAGTTTTTGAAAACATTTTTGTAGGAACCAAAAAAATGCTACATACCTGAAAACATTAACTTAAGAGAAGCGATTCCTTAATCGGCGATCCCGCAGAAAGCCCCTTTGTTCGAATTTTCCACAGAATTTCTCTCTCCAATCGCATCCGAAGCTATCACCAATTCGCTTGTTGTATTTAGTCACTCTTTGCCTTTAATTTCGCAAGGTTTCATGGAATATAACTGAGGACTAAATCCGCTACGGCTAAAATAAGACTAGTAAATGAGTTCCCTCGTAGTCGGCACCAGAAGCCATTATTGACGACGTTATCAAGTATCCAAAAATGGTTATGGCCCGGACTGACAACTTATTTGACTCTTTTGGCAAGGTTACGTGGACGAGTATAATTATTTTACTACGGTCGTATTTTCCCTACAAATACCTTGTGTTTGTCTCAAATGGAGGAATTTTAAGTGGAAAGCAAAACTAGTGATGTCCGTGACTCAAGCCTCCCCGTTTCGCTGATTGGATTCTTGACTGCCCGGAGTTGAAATCCACTCGATATCCAACTGGATTGACCAACGCCAGTTGCAATTTTCAAAAAATGTTACGTTTTATTTGGATTTAAAACATTTTTACGATAATGACGGGCCACAGGACTTTGAGCTATAAACAGTGCCTAAAATATAAAGTATTGGTTACCATATATTAGCCCCAAGACCCAAAAGTGTCTAAAATCAATTTTGTAACTGAATACTCTTTTGAAAGCACACGTTATCACGGAAATTTCTGCTGTATTTCCATTGAGGTATTTGTCCTATTTATCGACATAGCTGCCGCCATGCCACACGTGAAAGTCCGAAAGCCTGTTTATTGTAAGTTGTGTGATCTCGTAACCACACACGCCAATTTCCTGATCGGGATATGCCTCCCTCTAGAGTCTCTCGCGCCCTTTTATTTTGGAATACTTGGGGACATTGGCTGGCAGAGAATGATTCAAAATTTCTACCAAATTTCATCGAAATAAGATCTAAAGGCAATTAATGTATCAAGTGATGGCTGATTGGGGTCATCCGGCGTCCCTTCCTTCACTGCTGGATATGATCTACCTCCCTCCACACCTGCCCAGAATTTTTAACCACGGACGTCGCTGTGATTGCGCATACGCTGTTCATGCGTCTGCTGACACAGTGGTGACTAAAATTTTATAACAGCTGAAAAGGAGCAACACGACCGAACTTTCCACTCCCGCCGCTGCCTAACCGCTTTTCCGGAAGCTTTGCTTTATAATTTTGCTGATGTTTCGGGAAATGAGATGAAAAGACGAGGGTGAAAGAGAAGGAGAGTCACGTGCACTTTCAACTGCCAAAACACGATTGACGGTTGTGGGGCGTACCTTGTAATGTATCGGTCAAATCGAAACTTCAACATGCCCCCCCGGGCAACCCCGCGGGCATTTGACTTTTTTGAAAATTATTGTTCAAATTCCCCCCTACTCGGGCCAAAATGCCGTTCAAATGCCCCACAGTAGGGTCCATTCAGGTGATCAAATGCCCCCACCCCGGGGACATTTCACAAGCACAAAAATGACAGAAGGACGGCGGAAACGCCTTCAGTTGTCGAACAAAATCTTTATAAATATGACAAAAACTGAGAAACACTGTTAGCGTATTTACTACGAACAAAAAACTCGTGCAAAGCGGTGGAAATCGCTGCTACAAGGTCACTGAATGCTCAGCTTTTCTTCATCATGCAACATACAGAGCGTTCTATAAAAAAAGATCCCACCTATTGAGATTACTACATCATGACCATTTCACTGACATGCATCATCGCTCACCGTATAAATTAACATACTTGCAGTAGGTCAAAGTAGTTGACCTGAGCTTTTTATTTTATTTTATTTTATGTTGTTGCATTGAATCGCTGGTATAGGTATTGTATTTCATTGTAAACACAACAATAACATACATTCATACATTCAAAGCCTGTATCCAACATTAAAAAATTTAAAATTCAAATACTTCAAAAACGGCCCAAAGCTTGTTTAAGCCCTTTCCTCGTAACTAATTGGCCACAAAGGCACAATCTTTTCCACCAAAATCCTCTAACACCGCGTCCCCCATCATAGCTCCCCACGCCAAAGACTTTACATGAAATCGAGGGCACAGTTCAAATTCCCCACCCCTAAAGCATGGGGATCAAATTCCCCACCCTCTGGAAGACTGTGATAATCAAATTCCCTCCTTCCCGGGACGGCAAAGGTGTCAAATGCCCGGGGTATGCCCGGGGGGGGGGGGCATGTTGAAGCTTCGATTTGACCGATACATAAGACTACAACGAGAAATTCTCTAATCCGACGTTTTGCATGGGACGTTTCTTTGTCTACTTTACCCTCAAGATCAGCTGCAGAAACTCATTTACTATAGAAAAATTGCGTGCTTTGAAATAAAAAGAGCATGCATCTTTGTGTGTTTTCTCTGCCGTCATGGTCGTGGTTATTAGGGACTTAAAACAGAGGTTAAACATCTCAGTCACGTTTACGTCGAACGGCAAACGCGAGTTTGTACCACGTGACCAAGTTTCCCCTTTGCTTGTCGCCTTCTGGTCATTATTTCTGCAGATAGATTAGTAGTTTCACGCAATTTTTTATCCATAAGAATTCTCTGAGCTGTTTTTATCTGCTCATTTTCTATTTTGAGAAAATCTCAACTTGACCCTGACGTTTGGCATATACGTGAAGCTTAAACTCTCTGAAGATCGGTGACGAGAACGTCAAAAAAAAGCGATAGCTTTAATACGAAAAACAACAACTTTGCGCGTGCATCACGCTTTTTTGTACATTTCGTTGCGGTTTTTGCACGACTTCGGCGTGAAAATGCCTAATTTAAAGTTTCATAGAGGACTTAAACTTAAGCGACCACGAAGTTTTATTTCTCTTGCTGAACTTGGACATTTTTCTTAGGAATTTAACTCCTGAGGGGTTTACCTACAGTTGACAAAGTACGTGGGTAGGGTAGGAATAGTCGCGATAAAGATTGAAAGAACGCAAGTTCACTTTTTAAGCGACATTTTCGCTGCCGTCACGTCCTTCCATTCCTTGAGGTCAAATAAAACCATCCAGACGTGTATAGTCTTACAGGAAATACACATATCACTTTATTTTTATAACTAGAACACAAACTGATCGGTATATGGACAGCCGACATAGGATGTTATGTTTACCTGAGATTAAATAAATAGCTGTAGAATTAGAAAAGGACGGCCTTTGCCACTCACTTTGACACATAACCGCACCTGAGGAATTGACTGATTCCCAGCGATGTATTGAGTTAGAGAAAGTGTAAAGAAATTTTAATTAAAACTAATAAAAATACAGTATTATACTTTTTCTTTGATTCCAATGTAATTCTGGGGTTTTACAACTATACCCACATTTTTTGAACCACCCCTTCTTCGTTTAAATTTCCATTAATGTAAGTTAAAGAGGCTACAAATTATTTGACGTTTTTGGCAAGATTAGGTGGACGAGTATGACGAGGAACAATTATCAGTAACTAAGGTCGTATTTTTTCTACAAATAACTTGTGTTTGTCTCAAATGGAGGAATTTTAAGTGGAATGCAAAACTAATGATACCCCTGACTCAAGCCTCCCCCTTTCGCTGATTGGATTCTTGACTGCCCCGAGTTGAAATCCACTCGACCAAACTTGCAAATATCCAACTGGATTAACCAACACCAGTTGCAGTTTTCAAAAATGTTATGTTTTATTTGGATTTAAAACATTTTGACGATCATGACGGGCCACAAGACTTTGAGCTATAAACAGTGCCTAAAAGATAAACTATAGGTTACCATATACTATCTCCAAGGCCAAAGGTGTCTGAAATCAATTTTGTAACTGAATACTCTTTTGAAAGCACACGTTATCACGGAAATTTCAGCTGTATTTCCGTTGAGGTATTTATCCTATTTATCGACACAGCTGCCGCCATGCCACACGTGAACGTCCGAAAGCCTATTTATTGTAAGTTGTGTGATCTCCTAACCACACACGCCAATTTCCTGATCGGGATATGCCTCCCTCTAGAGTCTCTCGCGCCCTTTTATTTTAAAATACTTGGGGACATCGGGTGGCAGAGAATGGTTCAAAATTTCTACCAAATTTCATCGAAATAAGATCTAAAGGCAATTAATGTATCAGCTGATGGCTGATTGGGGTTATCCGGCGTCCCTTCCTTCACCGCTGGATATGATCTACCTCCCTCCACACCTGCCCAGAATTTTTAACCACGGACGTCGCTTCCCCCCGGGAGGGGGGGGGGAGTACTCCTGGGAATTCTTGGTGGGGGTGTGCCGCAAGGTTCTTCAAATCCTGACTCGATTTCAGACCAAAAAATGTAATTTTCCACACCCATTTTCAGACTAGACCTCTAAAATCCATACCCGTTTTCAGACGTGGCTTATAGGCAGAAATTATCGTTATTTAGATTAGAGCGCAAATACCGAAATTATTCAAAGCCATTTCGTAAAGCCCTACCCGATGGGGCGGCACACTCCTATATGGCTTATTTAAGGGAGTACCCCCACTCCCCGGGCCGCTGCCTAACCGCTTTTCCGGACGCTTTGCCCTATAATTTTACTGATGTTTCAGGAAAGGAGACGAAAAGATGAGGGTGAAAGAGAGGGAGAGTCATTTTCAACTGCCAAAACACGATTGACGGTCGTAGGGCGTACCTTGTAAGAGCTTCAAGTAGTCATAAGAGAGCTTTAGTGACCAAAAAAAGCAAAACAACTCTGGGCGTGCTGTATTTCTTGTTTCTGTGTACATTTTGGAAGTTAATGAGAGACTACAACGAGAAATTCTCAAATCCGACGTTTTGCATGGGATGTTTCTTTCCCTATCTCAACTTCGAGGTTGACCCTAAAGATCAGCTGCAGAAACTCATTTACTATAGAAAAATTGTGTGCTTTGAAATAAAAAGAGCATGCATCTTTGTGTGTTTTCTCTGCCGTTATCGTCGTGGTTATTAGGGACTTAAAACAGAGGTTAAGGGCGCTTTCCATTTAGTCAAAATTTCCGGAATTTCCGGTTCGGCGGTAAATGGAACACGTTTCGTCGGCTAATCCCACTGGAAAATTCCCAGAAAAAGTGGAAAATCTAAAAAGGTGGGCCCGTTTTCCCGGTTGGAATTTCCGAACGGAATGTCGTGTTCCATTTCCGTTTCTCGTAGTTTGTACCAGTTCCAGGTTCACCGTCGGGCACCGCGACGTACCGGGGTTTACGACCAAATGGAACAACTTTTTACCAATCGGAAATTCCACTTTTGCTCCCACCGAATTTCCTGGTTTTTTTCCTAAATGGAAAGCGCCCTAAGCATCTCAGTCACGTTTACGTCGAACGGCAAACGCGAGTTTGTACCACGTGACCAAGTTTCCCCTTTGCTTGTCGCCTACTGTTCATTATTTCTGCAGATAGATTAGTAGTTTCACGCAATTCTTTATCCATAAGAATTCTCTGAGCTGTTTTTCTCTGCTCATTTTCTATTTTGAGAAAATCTCAACTTGACCCTGACGTTTGGCGTATACGTGAAGCTTAAACTCTCTAAAGAGCGGTGACGAGAACGTTAAAAAAAGCAATAGGTTTAATACGAAAAACAACAACTTTGCACGTGCATCACGCTTTTTTGTACATTTCGTTGCCGTTTTTGCAAGACTTCGGCCTGAAAATGCCTAATTTAAAGTTTCATAGAGAACGTAAACAAGCGAAGACGAAGTTTTATTTCTCTTTTCTCTCTTTTCTTAGGAATTTAACTCCTGGGGGGTTCACCTACATTTGACAAAGTAAGTGGGTAGGATAGGGAAAGTCGCGATAAAGATTGGAAGAACGCAAGTTCACTTTTTAAGCGACGTTTCCGCTGCCGTCGCGTCCTCGGTGCTGTAATACCTCATGAAACTCAGAAATTCAGAAGAGTCGATAGTTTCTTAGTTTGGTGACGTCATGTGAAAACCGAGAATTTCCCGTAGACGGCGTATTTCCTTTCCTTGAGGTCAGAGTAAAAAGATTAAAACCATCCACACGTGTATAGTCTTACAGGAAACACACATATCACTATTTTTATAACTAGAACATCGTATCATTACCCAGCTTACAAAAATTTCGGAAACCTCCCTACCCGATCGGTATGTGTCTCGTTATCTCTTCGAACCTTTTTCAATTTCAATTTTAAGTTTCTTGCATCTACTTCTAGTCTACATCTGGGAAAACATCGCTGAATTTGGTCTGGAAAGGTTACCCTTTTTCCGTAATCAGAGGCCAACAGTTCAATGATCGGCAGGGTATTATACGGTATCACTTTCGTGTATAAGAGTCGAAAGTATTCTTAAAACCTCAGAGTTTACATACCAAAGTTGAGGGTGTTCTGAGCGCACATTCGTCTGATCACGTTCACGAAGAAGACATCAGTTTCTCAAAAAGAGGTGGACTAAATTCAAATACAGAATGCAGCATCCGGGTAACACATACGAAAACCCAGGATTTCAGTTGACTACCGTTGACGGAAGTCAGCTGTATATGGACATCGCAGGTTTTGAAGGCAAGGCGGCTAGGTTGACTACACCGAAACCTAAAGGTAGGAGTGTGAGCGCTGGACAGGCTCATCGGGAAAACATCGTCGAAATTCGGCAGCTCGTCATGAATAACGATGGCGGTGTGAACGCTCAAGAAAATCCACTGTACAAAGTAACTCCGATCACTGGATGTCGCCTGAACGTCAACACAGGAAATGAAAGTAAAACATCCAGAAGATTATCCTCGCCACCAAAGACCTCACCGAAACCCAAATCAAGGAGCGCGACCACAGGGGAAATCGAGAAGGAGAAAGTTCCACCTGAAAAACCCGTACAGTTTGACGCGAATTACGATGTGGGTGTCTATGAAGTTTTAAAAAGCAACAACAACGATATGCCAGCGCAACAGGTCAAGCAAGTATCAGGGGGAGGGCAACCTGATAAAGTGTACGACTCCATAACGCAGACAACGCAACAGCAAATAGATTCGTTACGTCGCACGTTGCGTCTAATGTCTTTGCTTCTGGTGATAGTTTGTCTGACGGCAGTGGCGAGTTTGGTGTTGATACTGGTCGAGATAAGGAAACCTAAGCAACACACAAGTCTCAATCAGCCTTCAACATCATCAGGTAGATGAGCTTAGCTTAGATCAATAGATGCAGTACGAAAGGGATTAAAGTTGAGGGGGACGGGAGCTAAAGCAAAATAACTCCTCCAAGACTGACCCGTATTCGAATGTGTTGTAGAGAAGCTTAAATCTTTATTTCCAGTGTCAGCCAGCAAAAATTGTCTGAGGTATAAATACCGTAACGTAACCTCAACTAAGCTAAATTTATTGCTATATTTTGTCTAAAATTGTTTTGTTGCCTTAACAATCCTTCGATTCTACTGCCATGCCAATATCCCCATCTAACACACATTCACTCTCTCTCCGCCTATACTACAAAGCCCGGGATTGAATTTTCATTAGCCATGTATTTATAAAGCCGTCTGACCAAAACAAAAGAATGCTCGAGTCTACCTATACTGCTACAGGAGTTACGAAAACAACGCCTACGTGATTTGGTTGTATTTTTTTCATTACTTGAATGAAAAACCTATCCTTATCCCTTTAACCTCTGAGAGAGATTAACATTCAATTTCTCTATACGGTGACACTTCTTAATGAAAGGTGAAAGTCGTGAGAAAAAAAGGAATAATCAACAAGTGAAAAAGGTTTTGATTGCTAAACGAATTCTCCTCATAAAAAGCATAGGAAATAAAGGAATAATAGTGTGGATAATTTTTATGATGATATTAAGTTCTCAAGGGTTAGCAGCAGAGCTTTTCCTCGGTGCTGAATTTTTGTTGCGAGTAGTTTATTTCACGACCCAAATTTTACTGAGATCCTACAAAGGACAGAGATACTAATTTCCCTCTTCTAATTCGGTTCCTTTGAACCCTAAGCAAAAACAAAACCCTTCTAAGTCTTAAGACTTAAGTCAGTTAAGTATCCATTTGTAAAGATTTTGTGTGTTTTCTTTTACTTTCTAATTGACTGATTTGTTCCAATGGCAAAGGATTCCTATTCACCTTTTCAACTAGGACAAACAATAGTGAGCCTCTATGGTTGCCTGCAGACGTCGATTTCGTCGCGCGTTTTCCATCCAATCGTCGGTTTTCAGAAGAAATTGTCGCATTTCAAGAGCAGCTTTGCATGGCATCGCTATTAGAGAGCTCAGCGTAACCACAACGGAAACGAGAAGATAAGCAAAACAAAAACTCTTTTTGGCAGGTTTCCTTGCCGTCAATGAACAACTAATGTTGTCGAACTTGATTGAAATGGCGATGCGATCGTTGTGACTTCGACTTCGTCGGAAATATCCATACGGAGGCTCAATAGTGGGATTTAACTGATTGCTTCAGGCGATAATGCTCTTGACTTAGCAGCATCAACAACAACAGTAACATGACTATAAAGCTTTACAGTTTTGCAAAAGAATTAAGATCAGTTTATGAGTGAAAATACTCATAATGAAACCAATGAGATGAAACCAACAAATCTTGATAAAAGAAAAAAAATGAAAACATCGGGCAACAATCAAGTGTGATAACAATTATTAAATAAACGTAGAAACAAATCTTCTGAGAATTCATGCTTTCATGTAGTAGCGCTGTACACAAATGTTAATTAATATGACGCCAGCTTCTTCATGACGGAGGGAGATATATTGCTCACGTCAGAGAGAGAAGGAAGGTATTCCAACAAGAAAAGAGAAAAAAAACAAGAAAGTAAAAATAAGAAAATGAAGTACTTGAGGAAAGTCACCAATGGGTTTATATTCGTACATACAAGGCTACAAGAACAAAAAACGCAAAATTATATAACAGAATATCGAGATCGCCTGGATCACGCGCACATCGACTAAGACTTTCTATCAAGGGAAGGAGCGCTCGCTGTGAGCTGAAAAAGAATACTTTCCGGTGCTGTTGTTTTGTTTTATCTGTGTGGTAAGAAAACGGAAACAAAAAATGGAACCGGAAGGTAGAGGGAAAGTGAGTTATGGGTGATACAAATTCGGGAATTTGAAATCTGGGCTTTGGAATCCGGAACTCAGCTCAAGGAATCCGGAATCCCACAAACAATTAGATTCCGGAATCCAAAGTTTTACAAGCCTGTTCTGGGAGTTCAGATTGTGGGACGGGGCAAACCGAACGCCTGCGCTGAAAAGGCTAAAATTCCACTCGCAACGAATCCGAAATCCACGGCGAGGAATCCAGAATCCATGAGTGTCCTGGATTTCCTTACATGGGGCGATAAGGAGGGCGGTGTAGGCCCGTCATGACAGAAAATATGTAAAATGCAAGAATACGTACTTTCTAACAGAATACACTTCTCGTCCACAGAGCCGCGGTCCCTTTCGCCAGCGCTGCTGGCCAAAAGGATCGCGGCCCTGGAGATGAGAATGAATGTAACGTCACATTTTAGCTTAATCTCATACCCAGATCTCCCACGGCCAAGGGAAAGGAAGATCTGGTAAAGTTCGATTTCGAGCATGCTCGGTAGCAGTGACGCTCGATGTACGGGCCTTACTATAACTGCGCATGCTCGTCCCTACTGTTGTGGGGAAACAGACATACTTTGGAAAGGTAAGAAGCGGTGGCGCTGGAGCGAAATAATTTTGACGAACATGAAAAAATTTTCATGTTGAACTTTTTCTTTCATCTAGGTCTATCGGATGGTGGCAAAACCGGTTGCATACAAACTGTGCATTTTCAAGAAATAACAGAACTGAGAGAAGCGTTAAACTTCACTCGTCGTCAGCTTGACATCGTCAGAAGTGAACTCAAAAGGCAGAACGCGACAATAACCAACATAACGTCGAAGGTATAAGGAACAGATTCTATGTGGGTGTCTTGGTCACATGTTAGTGATGATTCACATGATTCAGCCCAGTAAAAATTCTAAGCAGGTGTCTTTCAGCCCATTCTGGATAAGAGTGAACAGGAGGAGTTGCACTTTTTATTTAGGGGAATCTCGGAAAATTAACACTTGTCAAAGAAAAAAAAAACATCTAGAGAAATACTGAACAGAAATAAACATGGCACCAAGTGGATGATAACCAGTATTATTTCGAATGGCATCTTGTAAAAGAAAATAGTATTTTTATATTATTTTGTTTATTATGTGTGTTGTGAATTGACTTCCAACGGTTTACACAGATCCAGGGCGCCAGTGCCTAGTCTCGATTGTTTTAAGTAAACGGGAGTGTACGTGTACGGGAGTGTTGTATAGTGGGTATTACATGGCCGCGCGAGATACGAAATTTCTCTTCGAGTGTTGAATTTTTTAACGAGTGAGCGCAGTAATGTTCTATTTATTACATAAACACCATTTCGCTTTGATATTCTTTGGCTGCGAAAGGCGCTAGCCATAGCAACGGTGATCTTTTCCACGTGAAGATGACATGTTATTTTCACGTGCAAAGATATAATGTTTTTGCGCGCGAAAGCTCACCTGGTATTTAATTGGTGGTTATATAATAAAGCTCATTTACCACATTTGCTTCACAGGGATCCGATTGCAGTCGTTGCCTTGCACCAAAAGGACCACGAGGGCCTCCAGGCCGACAAGGACAGAAAGGGCCGCCAGGACCCAAGGGACGGCAGGGTCCTCCAGGGCCCAGGGGACCAATGGGCGTCAACGGGTCTCAAGGTCCACCGGGAGCCCCTGGACGACAAGGACCAATGGGCCCTCCTGGGTACAATGGGACACAAGCAGCTGGGCAACTTGGCCCACCAGGGCCCCGAGGACTTCCAGGTCAACCGGGAAGGCCTGGTGCTGGTAATCTGACTCTTTGTCATTACAGGTACAAGAAGGAGGCAGCACAAACAGCAGGAGTCGCGGCGGATTCGGTAGTTATGCTTCGGGAAGATTATCATCGGGTAGGTGATAAATCGGTTTTGCAATATTAGATTTAGGCAATGTTCACAATATAACGGATAGCTTTTCGTGCCGACACAAAAAGTTATCTGAACGTTTATACTCATTAGAATGAGAAATAACAGCAGTATGGTTTATTCTTTACTGAAGGAAACTTCCAAGTTAGTCTTTTCAGGAAGTACAAAAACAAGGTACGTTTTTGCATCACAAAAAAAGAATCCGATGCTTGGGCCCCGGATTTTTTTGTCCAAGTTTTCATTTAATGCAAAAACATACCATGTTGTTGAAGGAAATTTCTCAAATATAAGCTCTCTGGTACTTAACTAAAAGATTAAAATGGGAAGCTTTTTTTGCGTCTTTTGGGGCATTTGTACGAGTACAAAGAGCACACCGGCCTACCCACGGGAATAAAGGCAAAGGTAGTAGCGAGCCTAATATTTTGCACTGCAAGGGTATAACACCTTTGACACGGCCCTAAGCCATATTCGACAACAACTTTGCCCTACCTTTGACGCGAAACAAAGCAGTAAGCAAGCAGTTGCGCAATAACCAGCATAGGAGCAACTAATTCTTTTGCTTCAATAGTTATTTAATTAGTGAAACTATGGTTGTTTGTACTTTAAACGGCGGTCGTTTATTCGTTCAACATAAGCCCTATTACTGTTGGCCATGCCTTTAAAGTTTACAGGCGTTACTTTTGAAGCTACTTTCTGCTCCTCTACTAACTATGATGCATCTTGCCTTTTTAGGGATGGAAAATTATCGCCGCCACGTGTTCAACAGAGGGTGGTGCAGAGTACGTTTTCAAAGACGCAGTGCTTGAGTCAGGAACAAATGTATGGGTGTACAAATGCCATTGTAAAGGAAAGTCGAACTTATTTTCTGGTTCAAAGTATATGAAGTGTGTTATACACTACTGGATATGCCCCACTGTCAGCTAAAGACAGCTAGAGCAATTAGCAGTTAATCCGGAAGTACCTCCTGTTTCGGATAGTAGGGAGTGGTGTTCTAAGCACCAAATATTGGAGGTATTATATCGTTAGATTCGAGTACCAACACAGACACAGTCAGATTAATCGATAACTGCAATTAGGACTCAATAATACTGAAGATATATTATATACGGTACATATCTAGGCACATAGTGTTTCTGTGAAAAGCTCCACGGTTTACGAAGTTAAGCAAGAGCTCCAAATAATATTAACAAATTAAGAATCCTGACTAAAATAAAAAAAGGTACAGGTAGTTTCATTGTTCATCAACCGAACACAATAATAGGATTGGGGCCTTAAAGTATTCTTACGCGTTTGAGGCCTCAATTTTTTATTCACTTTCCAATTATTTGGGACAAAAATTATGGGGTTCACAAGTTCGAACGCTCTGCCAAATTTTCCCGTCACGACAAAATTTAAAAAAAAATAGTAGCAATTGACTCGGGTTTCGATAATGTTCGCTTTTATAGCCAGCCACACTTGGGTTTGAGATTACTAATTCTTGATGAGAATGCTAGAAACACTGGAAATAATAGACCTTGTCATGGTTTTCGACGCCATCTTGACGAGTAGGCAAACGTGTGAGAAATAACAGTGTTTGTATGAGAATCTAATGTAGAATAATTTCCGTAAAAGGGCTGTTCTGAAAGAAATATCAATTGTAAACTAAAGCTACAAAGTAAAGGATTGTCCTAAAAAATTTTGGAGGCGTACCAAATTTTCCATATGTTTGTCTGTAATTTTCCCGGGACTGTCCTGGAGACAAATGTATAGGAAATTTAAAAAGTGGTTCTAGGTCTTCTAGTGCATGTAACGCCCTCAAATGTTTTCAGTACCATCCTTGGGAGTGAAGCTTTAGTTTACAAATCATATTGTTTTCCGAACAGCTGTTCTACGGAAATTATTCGAAATTAGATTCTCATACAAACACTGTAATTTCTCACGCATTTGCCTACTCGTCAAGATGGCGTCGAAAACCGTTCGACAAAATACATAATTAATTTCCTTACTTCATTGTCTATGTCTTTCCCTTTGACAAGTACCTATTCAACCTATTTCCCAGTTAAAATCCTCCTCTTTCTTCGACGTCGCTATACTCGTGGTAGAAAAGAACGAGATAATAGGAGCCTTTTTGCATGAAACCGCTGACTTGTCAAAGAGCACGCGACCAGTGACAGCGACAGTGCTGCAAGGCTGTTTTCTACTTTGTTTTTGTTGTTGTTTGGCGCTCGACTCGTGTCTTGAAGTTCGAATGCATTGCTGATTTGTGACCCAGAAACGGCAGTTGCTGCTCTTTTTCAGGTTCGCACGTTAAAATACATAATTAATTTCCTTACTTCATTGTTAGTTTTATTCATAAGCTCTTAGTTTCAGACCGTCTTTCCCTTTGACAAGTACCTAGCTCGGGTATAGAAGTCTAGATTTCTCATGTTATTGTAAATTGCTAACACTTCCAAAATCTACTTTGTGATTAATCGACGTCGCTATACACCATCGATATGGCGCAAATTAATATTTTGCTATAAAGAACGATACTGATAATAGGTATTTAAACAATTAGTTGACTGAGGGTGAATAAGCAAAATCTATTGTTTTCGCTCAAGTTCGTCCCATGAAAAATTCGACGTTTGTTTTGGCATAAGAGTTAGAAAATACATAATTAATTTCCTTACTTAACTGTTAGTTTTATTCATAAGCTGTTAGTTTCAGATCGTCTTTCCCTTTGACGAGTACCTAGCTCGGGTATAGAAGTCTAGATTTCTCATGTTGTTGTAAATTGCTAACACTTCCAAAATCTACTTTGTGATTAATCGACGTCGCTATACACCATCGATATGGCGCAAATTAATATTTTGCTATGAAGAACGATACTGATAATAGGTATTTTTAACAATTAGTTGACTGAAGCTGAGTGTGATGTGAAACAATATGCAGATCGAGGGGATCTGCTGATAATTCTTCACATCACACGAAAGCCGAATTCAATAATTGTTTTATTATTCAACTGAAATGTGATTAATCGACGTCGCTATACACCATTGTTATGGCGCAAGTTAATATTTTACTATAAAGACCGATACTGATACTAGGTATATTTAACAATTAGTTGACTGAGGCTGAGTATGTTCTGAAGAATTATGCAGATCGAGGGGAGCTGCCGATAATTCTTCACATCATGGGAAAGCCGAATTCAATCATTGATTTATTATTCAATCAAAATATTTTTATGTTCTTAACAAGCTTACCTCCTCGTAGACATTCTTCAAAACTTTGACAGATCTTTTTCTCGCAGATGTTGCTCAAAAAGTAGATAACATTTATCGATGTTTAGTTCACCCACGAAGAAACAGCTAGGCTGCAGCGCCTGAAAACGAGGTTGATCCATCGTTATTTTTACCTAGAAACGAGGCTTCTTGGGAAAAATACCATTGGATCGATGTTATATTACTAGCATCTTCCTAATGTGATCAACGGTGAGCTGGTTATCAAGAATTCGCCGAGGGATTTAAGCCAGTCAGAAACGGCAAAATATTTTGGATGAATAATAAAACCTTTTTATTTATAAATGAATATAGAAAAACGATTAAACTTTATTAGTTATTTTACTTTTAATTTAATTCATAAGTTCACTGTTACTCGCGGTAGATTTTAACTTTGACAAGCACCTACGTTAGGTATGAAAAAATATTCAACAGTAATTTTTTTCCATTTCAAAGATAAACTTGTCTTATAAGTTTCCCTTTATTTTTCGACGTCGCTGTAACTTTAAAATTGTCTAAGCGTAAATTAATGTAATGCTTCAAAGATAGACTCTCTTTATAAAGAGTTTGGTCACTTAATTTCTGTTAAATTCAGACTGTTAGAATTTTTAATCAGACATAATTATGATGATTATAGGAATTTGAATCAAGACTTCCTTCCATGTTTACTCTGCGAGAGGAGGTTTCTCTCCTGCATTGCTTTTAGCATTAACGAAGCCGTTTGCATCGCTTGTCACTAACAATGGAAAAGGTCTCAAACGAGTACGTAATTCATAAGTTGTACATGATTGCTATTTCACAAGGAAGCAAAATCGATTGTTTTATGGTCTAAGGCGATATTTCGTCTAGATCAATTCATAATTAAACGAGAAATATCCAATGAAATCTTACTGTTTTGACGAACAGATATTAAGTTGAAAAAATCATTTAGGAAAGCTGCCTGTAACAGGCTGGTTTACAACTCGCCAGAGAAAACTCAATCCTAAGTTATTTGGGTTTTTGGAATGTCTAAAATCAGATAACGTACTGTTCAAGAAGCATCGAAGCCTACTAGGAATGAATAAAGGCACCATCTACAACTGTCAAAGTTGCAGTTTTCCTGCTGCGAGTAGGTCGTGTGAACTATTCTATACGCCGTTTGAAATTGATAAAATGTTCTTCTTTACAACGAAAATCTGATTCAAACTAAAATGTTGCAACATGTTTTGTAAGACATAATTTTGTTAGGGGAACGACGGTTGCACATGTACACTAGGCCAGGTCATGTTCCAAATGCGCTTATCAAGTGCTACCTGTCTTGCAATGCGAATTGGAACTTGCTCGATGGCTTAGCTTGAATTTTATGAAAAGGAAAACCCCATTACAAATAAACTGTGCAAATTTTTGGGGTTTTAGGAATGTGTAAAAACAAACAACATACTGTTCAAGAAGCATCAAAACCTACTACGAATGATTATCCGCACCACCCAAAACTGTCAAAGTTGTTTTTCTGCTGCGAACAGGTCGGGTCATTCAACTATTCTATTTGCTATGTGAAATTGATAAAGTGTCCTCCTTTATTTTCTGCTGCGAACAGGTCGTGTCATTTAACTACTCTTATGGTCGCTGTCTAAAGCTGATAAAATGGTGTTCTTTACAATGACAATCATTCAAACTGAAATGTTGCAAGATGTTTTTTCTAACAACTAATGTTGTTAGGGGATCGACGGGTACTGTTTTTAAATACATTATTTCAAATATGTAACATAACAAAAATATTTAACAAACAGGGTAACAACTAACATCAAACAAAATACAATTTATCACAGAAATACAATAAATGTCCTACAATTTATAATAAAACACTCACGAGAAAGAAAAAGGAACTAACGCATATTGTCTACCCTAACATAACAAGGCTGATTATTGCTTGGGTTGCCAGAGATAGCATTTGCTACTTTACGAATTAAAATATACTTAGTGTCAAAAAGCAAAAATAAAGAAAAACAAAGCACACATACCGAACAAACAATGATTAACAGTTGATTTGAAATTAAGATCTGTGTCTTTCTATGTAAAGTCGGCTTTTAAGGAAAACGAGAAAGTCAGACAACGTACTGTTCAAGAAGCATCGAAGCCTACTAGGAATGAATAAAGACACCATCTGCAACTGTCAAAGTTGTTTTCCTGCTGCGAGCAGCTCGTGTCATTCAACTATTCTATTGGCTATCTAAAGTTGATAAACTGTTCGTCTTTACAAAGAAAATTATTCAACCGATTGTTGTAAGATGTTTTATAACAACTAATCTTGTTAAGGGAAAGTTGGTTGTACATGTCCACTAAAACAAACATTCAAACTACTGTAGGCCAAGTCATGGTCTAAAGGAGTATAAAATAATTATAACATGCGCTCATCACTACCTGTCCTCATGAAAGCGAATTGGTACTTACTTGATGAAAGCTTATTCTGAATTTCACCTTTTCGAAGACTTTATAATTTTCTAGGAAATCATTATAATTGCTTGCAATGAACAGGAACACCACATTACAAATCAACTGTGCAAGTTTGTTAGGTTTTAGGAATGTCTAACATCAGACACCGTACTGTTAACAAGCATTAAAGCCTACTACGAATGAATAAGGGCACCATCTAAAACTGTCAAAGTTGCAGTTTTCCTGTTGCGAGTAGGTTGTGTCATTCAACTCTTCTATTTGCTATCTGAAATTTATAAAATGTTTTTCTTTACAAAGGAAATCATTCAAAGTGAAATGGTGCAAGATGTTTTCAAACAAATAATTTTATTATGGGAACGACGGTTGTATATGTACACTAAAACAAACACTCAAAAATATCACTTGGCCAGGTCATAGTCTAAAGGAGTATGAAATAATTATAACATGCGCTCATCACTACCTGTCTTGCAAAGCGAATTGGGACTTGCTTGACAAAAGCTTATTTTGAATATCTCCTTTTCAAAAACTTTTTTACCCCTTTTTCTGGAAAATCATTATGATGTTTGCAAGGAAAAGAGACACTCCATTACAAATCAACTGTGCAATCAAAGTCCAGGCCCGTGCATGAGATCAATAATT